CTATAATTTTCTCTTTCTCTCTTTATGTATCTTTATATACACATGCACATGGTTAGTCTGGACATTTTTCACTTCTCTCTCTTTCTCTCTCTTTCTCTCTTTGCAGCACAATTGGAGGCAGCCATGGAAGACCTTCCATTGTAGAAGATACTGCCAGGGACAACGAGGACACCACCCACGAGTAAGGAAATCCCTAGGAAGAAAGTGGTGGTGCAACGGCGGTAGATCTAATCGTGAATTGTAGATCTAATCACGCTGTTAAAACTAAAAAGAAGCGATAGAATTAGTGAAATCAAACAGAGAAATACTATGAGGAGGGATGAGATCCGACCTTGGATCAGTGAAATTGAGGAAGTAAATAGATCTAAGAAGATTAATGGAGATTGGGGACGGTGATGCTATCGGTGAGGGAGTGAGACGATGATAAGATCGCTGCTGACGACGGAGTAAAAGATGGTGAGGACCTCCAATCGTGGCTTTGGACTGAGAGAGAGAGAGAGAGAGAGAGAGAGAGAGATCTGAGGAGAGAAGAGAGAGAAAATCCAGAGATAAAATGCATGAGAGGAAATAGAGGGTAGTTTGGTCATTCTGTAATAGCTTGTCCTTATGAACAAGCTAATTCAGCACCTGGACCTCTCACCAAACAAAATTCAAAATTGGATTTTTGGCTCGAGCATCCTTAAAAAATTACCAAACAGCCAGAGTCCTTAGAAAAAAGGTAGGGGCTATTAGCACCACCCGTCAGAAATACATGTTGTGAATTACTACCTCAAACATGAAAAATGAAAATTTAAAAATAATATTTTTTTATATTAAAATTTTAATTTTTTTTTTCATAAAGTAAAAATAATTAACTCCGCCAGGGTTGTTTAACAATTTTGCCGGTCCCAAGCTCAGGTAAATGAGGCGGGTTGTGTGTTAGGTAGCTGATAGTCAACACATGAAAAAGCCTCTCGGATCCCTGATGACAATGAATCCTACTTTGAATCGATTAAATACTAGGTCGTTCCTCTCAAGTGACGCATTGCACCTACCTCCAGGTGTTTCGAAAAGTGAACAAGGTGCACTGCATTTTCTGGATGAGCATGAGTAAAGAAGCTAGTCCAAGACTATAGGTTTAGAGTAGCCACATGGAATATAGGAACTTTAATTGGTAAGACTATAGAATTGGTAGATGTTATGATTAGGAGGAGAGTTAGTATAGCATGCATTTAAGAAGCTAAGTGGACGGGTGAGAAAGCTAGTGAAATTGAGGATACCGGGTTTAAACTGTATGATAGTGGCAAGATTAGACATTGGAATGGGATAGGAATAATAGTTGCTAAGGGTCTTGTGGAAAATGTAGTGGTGATCATTAAGAAAGGGGATAGGATTATGTTAGTTAAATTAGCTATTGGAGAGAATATAGTGAACATTATTAGTGCTTACGCTTCCCAAGTAGGATTAGATGATTAGACTAAGAGGGATTTTTTGGAGCAAATGGATGAGATTTTACAAGAGATACTCGTAGGAGGGAACCTAGTTATAGGTGGAATTTCAACGACCATGTATAAGTAGATAAACTAGGCTATGAGAGGGTGCATAGTGGATATGATTTTGGTGATAAAAATGAGGCTGGAGAGAGTATTTTAGCCTTTGCCTTGGCTTTTGACCTGGTGGTGGCCAATACTGTGTATAAGAAGAGAGATGAGCACTTGATAACTTTTAAGAGTGGGTCAGTTAAGAGCCAAATAAATTACTTTTTAGTGAGAAAAGTGGACTGTTTAAAATGCAATGACTGTAAGGTAATTCCTAGAGAGAGCCTGACATCTCAACATAGGATTTTGGTACTAGATTTATGTTTTAAAGGGCAATACCAAGCTAGAAAGGATAGTGGGTGTCGTAGGACGAGATGATGGGACTTAAAAGGAGATAAAATAGAAATATTTAAGAATAGCATGAATAAGGAAGGTACTTGGAACTTGGAAGACGATGCTAACATTATGTGGAACTCAATGGCCAATTGTATAAGGAGAATCGCAAGGGAAGTTCTTAGAGAGTTGAAAGGAAAGGAACCCAACTCTAGGGAAACTTGGTGGTGGAGGAAAAAAGGTTCAAGCGGTGGTTAAGGCGAAAAAAGAGTGCTTTAAAAAGTGACAGAATGATAGAACTGAGGAAAACTTTAAGAGCTATAAATTGGCTAATAAGGAGGTTAAGAAAGTAGTGAAAGAGGCTAAGTTGAAAGCTTAGTAAGGAGGGAGAGAAGAGTGTTTACAAACTTGCTAAGATTAGGGAGAGAACAAGAGATTTTAATCAAGTCAAGTGCATCAAGAGTGAGGATTCTAAGGTATTGGTGAAGGATGAAGAGATTAAGAAGACGTGGAAGAACTACTTTGAGAAACTGTTAAATGAGGAACATGGAGGTACGTTAATAAGGGAGGAAAAGCTAGTAATAAGGAAAACCAAGACTAAAGGTTCTTTTGTAGGATTAGAAACTTTGAAGTGGGGATTGCACTTAAGAAGATGAAATCAAATAAGGTAGACCTAATGATATCCCTATTGAAGCTTGGAAGTATTTGGGTAAGAAGGGGATTGCTTGGTTGACTAGGTTGTTTAGTAAGATTTTGTTGACTAGGAATATGCCAGATGAGTAGAGGAAGAGTATTTAGTGCCAATCTATAAGAATAAAGGAGGTGTCCAGAACTAAAACAACTATAGAGGAATCAAGCCAATGTATCATACAATGAAAGTGTGGAAGTGGGTGATGGAACGTTAATTGCGAGATATAACAGATGTTTCAGAGAATCAATTTGGATTTATGCCTAGTAGGTCAACAATGTAAACGATCTATCTTTTCAAGAGAGTAATAGAAAAGTGTAAAGAAAAGAAAAGAGACATTCATATGATGTTTATCGATCTTGAGAAAGTATATAATAGAGTGTCTCGGGATATAATCTAGTGGATGTTAGAGAAGAAAGGAATGACAAAATGTTACATTGATGTGATTAGGGATATGTATAAATGGGTGGTGACCACTATTAGATCGTCTGCTGGAGTGACAATTGAATTTCCAATTACTATAGGGTTACACCAAAGATCTACCTTAAGTCCTTATTTTTTTACTTCAGTTATGGATGAGTTGACTAGAAATATTCAGGATAATGTGTCATGGTATATGCTTTTTGCAGATGATATCGTGTTAGTAGATGAGACTAGAGAAGGAGTTAACACGAAGTTGGAGATTTAGAAAAAAACACTTGAATCTAAAGGATTTTGGATAAGTAGAAGTAAGGTAGAATAGATGGAGTGTAAATTTAGTAACAGTAACAATGAAAGTAGAGGAGAAGTAAATATTGAGAACCAAGAACTATCTAAGAGTGAATATTTCGTTATTTATGGTCGATTATCACAACGGCGGGGGGAGATTGATGCGGATGTAGTCCATAGAATTAAAGCGGGGTGGCTTAAGTGGAGAAATACATATGGGGTACTGTGCGATAGACGTGTACCTACTAGACAAAAATGAAAGTTCTATAGAACGACTATTAGACCATTGATGTTTGTATGAGACGCAGAGTTGGGCAACCAAGAAACAACATGTAGATAAGATGAGTGCTGCTGAGATGAGGATGCTAAGATGGATGTGTGGCAAAACTAGAAAAGACAGAATTAGGAATGAGTATATTTGAGAATGGGTAGGAGTAGTACCGATAAAAAATAACTTGAGAGAGAATAGATTGAGATAGTTTGATCAGATTCAACGGAGATCAACAGAGGCAGTAATGAAGAGATGTGATACAATGACAATAGATGGAAGTATTAGAGGACGGGGTAGACATAAATTGACATTAGCTAGCATAATAACTAGAGATATGAATCTACTTAATTTGACTAACAATATGGCCTTTGATAGAGCCACGTGGAGAAGAATGATTCATGTAGCCGACTCCATTTGATGGGACTTAAAACTTGATTTGGTTTGATAAAGTAAAAATAATTACCAAGATTTTTTATTTAGTGAAAAAAATTTTAAAAATCGATATGAGAAAATTCTCGTTTTCTATGTTGAACAAATAATTTGAAATGAAATGAATATTATACAGATTGCACCAAAAATTATAAGCGCAATTATAGGCATTGGTTATTAATTTAGGAATTGTGTTCTTTTCCATTGCATTTTTATAATGGAAATGTTCTATTATATCATCTAATGGTAAATATAATGATCTTTTTTAATTTCAAATAATTATAAATTTTTATTTTTATTTCATAGCCATTAAATTTGTAATAATTTTTTTTCATTACATACATGAAATAGATAGGGTCAGAATACTTAATTTAGTATGTTGATGTGATGTAAACAAAAATTATATGAAATAAAATAAAATAAAAAAATCAGAGGACATTGATAGTGCTTAAAAAAAAAAAATTGTATGTCCCAGTGGTTTGCAACAAAAAAAGTCAATCATGTGGCCAGTCAAAGTTAGGCGTATGATACAGGTTGGTGCCTTAAACAAATTTATAGGAATAGTTTAAATTCTCTTTTGGTCATCTTAAAAAAAATTTAAATTCTCTTAAGAAAAATTAAAAAAAAAAAATTTAATGTTTGGACATTATAACAAAATAAATTTTAAGTTTTTTTTCTTCTAATTTTTATTTATTTTTAATCTAAATCATAGTAAAACTATCAGAACAATATATTTTATTTATTAAATTTTATAAAAATATATATGTTAGATATTTTCTATACACTTATATTGAATTTAATGAGTAAAATATAATTTTTTCAATGATTTTACTTAATAAAAATAAGTATATATATATTTGTCATTTCCTAATTCTCTTTCTCTACATGATATAGTTTAAAAATGGGAAAATCGGTCTAAGGTCCCAATTGAACTTTTAGTAATGGATTAGATCCACAATATGTTCTTTTGTAGTCTAAGGTCCCTCACCCCGTACCCTTATATTACACCTGCACTCTCATAGCCAGAGAGGATAACCAAGTCAGGAACATAAAGGTCTGAATTTGATCGTTGGTCGAAACCCCGAGAAACTCAAGGAGGTTTCGGAGTCGATCGAAGCCAAATTCGGGAAAACCCAGATCAAGACTGTGGTTGTTGATTTCTCTGGAGATTTGAACGAAGGGGTTGATCGGATACGTGAAACCATTGAAGGTCTGGATGTTGGAGTTCTGATCAATAATGTTGGAGTTTCGTATCCTTATGCGAGGTTTTTCCATGAGGTGGACGAGCAATTGTTGGCTAATTTGATTAAAATCAATGTTGAAGGGACTACCAAGGTTACACAAGCGGTTTTGCCTGGGATGATTAAGAGGAAGAGAGATGCGATTGTTAATATTGGTTCTGGTGCTGCCATTGTTATCCCTTCTGATCCAGTTTGTGCTGTATACCTCGCTTCTCTGTGCCTTTGACAGATCTGCTTTAGTCTTGGCTTCATATGCTTCCATCTGTGCTTGGAGGGACCTAATGGGAACATTGTTCAACAGAGAAACACTTTTGATTGAAAAATTCAACTGGAAAAAAGTGAAGAACAAATTTGGGTAAGTTGCAGAATTTTTTCCAGATATTACAAACCAGAGAAATTCTCAATTGTTATTTTTAATAAACCAGAGAAATTCTCAATTGATATTTCAATAACAAACCAGAGAAATTCTTAGATTTTTCCAGAATTTCTCTGGTTCTGGTAAGTTGCCATTGTTATCCCTTCTAATGTTGCTTACATATTACAATGTTGAATTTTTCCAGTTGAATTTAGTTGAACAATGTTGCTTACCTAATGAATCACAATGATTTGGGTAAGTTGCTGAAATTTTTGTTAATTATGCTTAGTTACTTACATGTATCCCTATGATCAGTTTATTTCAACAAATGTATAACTGGAAGTATAAATGAAAGTGTAAATGAAATCATAACAAAATGTAAGAATGGAATTTTATTCAAGAAGCTAAGAACAGATTCATAAAAACATTCAAAACTTTCAATAAAAAAATATAAAACATTGTTTCAACCACTAGCCTTGTGCATCTGTAGTGAAATTTTCTCTGGACTGAAATTTCTCTGGATCAAGGTTAAGAGGCCTTAGGCATTATGAAAATATTGAATGTCCTTTATGCTATACAACCTTAATATCAAGGACCTTAAAAAAAAAATCCCTTTAAAAATTTATGAAAATAATAAAAATTTATACTGAGACCCAATAAATAGTTGGTGAATTTAGAACTTAAATTAGATTATATTATTGATCTTTATAATTACATTTATTTATGAGTATTGTTATTCAAAAAAAAAAAAAAGATTCAATTTTCAAATTCAGTAATGTGGTAATCAATTAAAATATTAAAAGTAGTATTCTATTTCATATATTCTCTAATAGCTAATTAATCATATTACTTATATATTATTGAGTCTAGAAAATAAATTATTAATGTGTCTCTATATCATTTTCCTTTATTTATTTAAAGCACAAAGACTGGAAGGTGGTGATTCGCTTTTATATAAGTAAAGCTCTTTGCTTTTGTTTAAGAGGAAATATCATTTTGCCCCACAAGCTTTCACGGATTTTTTTAATTTGACCCTCAGACTTCGATTAATATTAATTTTACACCTAAATTTTCAAAAATTTGAACAATTTGGCCCTTGCAGTCATATTCCGTCTACAATTAGATGGAATGTGTTGACGTGGCACCAAAATTTATTTGAAACTTTATTTTACTCCCTAAACTATATCCTAAGAATCAATTTGCCCTCCAAATATAAAATTAAAAAAAAGTTAAATTTAAATATTTAATAAATAAATTTTTTTATCTCAATAATGAAAAAATCAAATTTTAAATAATATGTACTTTACAAAAAAAAATAATAAAAATTCTCATTTAGAATTATCTTGAAACTACGAAGTATGTGTACTTTGACAAACATGTCATACCCGTACCGGGTATTGACTGAATTTTGAAATTTTTTTCCCACTTAATTTTGTAATTACTATTAGTCAATCAATTCTATTAAAATTAATATGGGTAATAAACTAGTTACAATTGTGTTTGCACACACACACATAGAGTAGTCAAGAAATTTTCAGCTCAATAAGTTTCTCCATGATCGACTTGAGATAATTTGAAACCTATGAAGCACAGGTATGTGTATGAGCATTGGTATTGGTACGATACGGATATGTCGACTTGATAAAATCCAAAAAAAAGTAAGGTACGAGTATGGCTTAATACGTTTGTAAAAATATACTTGTTTTTAATTTGGAATAACACAAAAATTGATTAAATGGTTTAATTTGTTAAATCTAACATACAATTGACAATTAATGCCAAAAGTACATGTATATAATAAATCAAAATTAAATATCATTATATTTACAAATCATAACTTAATTTTAAAACCATACTAAACACAAAACTAAAAATGAAAAACAAATCTAGTAAAAAGAATTTAATCTTTATAGTAGAAGAAAATATTGTTTCGACTGAGGTACGACACGGCTTGGATATATACTAAATATATCTGGGTAAGCCAAAAATTAAGAAGGAAAAATCTGAGTATGAATTTTGTATACCCGATATGTATACGGAAATATCATATATCGGTAAATACTCGGTACGGATATGACATATTTGTCGAATTATCTATTATTCATAGTCTCAAGATAATTATAAATAAGAATTTTTATATTTTTTATTATTTTTTTGCAGAAGTATATATTATTTAAAATTTAATTTCTTCATTATTGAGAAAAAAAAAATATTTATTAAATATTTAAATTTAATTTTTTTAATATTTGTGAGGCAAATTGATTTTTAACATATAGTTTTGAGAGTAAAATGAAATTTCAAATGAATTTTGATATCATATCAACACATTTTATCTAATTATAGACAAAATGTAATGATAAAAGTCAAATTAATCAAAATTTTAAAAATTTACATAGAAAATTAATATTAATCAAAATGTGAAGTCAAATTGAAAAATAAGTTAAAATTTAAGAGGCAAAATGACATTTCCTCTTTGTTTTATCTTTTACCTTTACTTTTTGGCATCGCAATTTTGCTTTCAATGTTTCCTTTTGGATCCAAACTCAAGAAGCCACTTGCTCCTTCTGCTTCTTCACTCTGAAAGATCTTTCTTTACAGTTTTTTTTTTTGGATCGACACCACCACCAACCCATTTCAAGACTCGTGATGGAAAGAGAGAGAGAGAGAAAGAAAGAAAGATCAAGGGATGGAAAGAGAGAGAGAAACTGACAAATAGATTCGAGATGGAGATGGGTGAACAATATTTCGTCTTGGAGAAAGAGGGAGAGAGATTCATGATGGAGATGGGTAAAAATTATTCTGTCTTGGAGAAACAGAGAGGGAGAGAGAGATTCAAGAGGGAGATGGGTGAAAAATATTTTGCCTTGGACAAACAGGGAGAGAGATTAAAGAGACAGAGAGAGAGATTCGAGAGGGAGCTGGGTGAAAATTATTCTGTCTTGGACAAACTGAACCATCTAATGATCAGTAAGGCATGCAATTTGACCGCAGATCAGATTGATCATATCGACTCTTTTAACCATCGGCTAACATTCATAGCAACCATTCTCAAGGATTTGGAAGAGAAGCAGCAGCAGCAGCAGCATGAGCTGAACTATGAAGCTAAAAACCTGCCGATGCAAATTTATTCTGTGATCTCCAAGACAAGACAACTCATCCGTTTTTTTGATGTTTAAGTTCCAGGGCAGAGGGACAGCAACAACAACGGTGACAGTTTTTTTGATATTTTAGTTGGCACAAATATCATGGAAGAGATTAAGACGATCGAGGCAAAAGTGGTGCAGTTTTATGACCAGATAAATCAGATCCAACTCCTACAAGATTGTAAGTCTTTCAATGATGGAGTCCATTCGTCAGTGTCAATGTCAATGGAGAACAGAACCATGGTAGATGAAGAAATTACAGTGGGCTTTGATGATGAGGCGTTGACTATAAAAGAGCTACTTGCTGGAGGGAAGAAGCAGCTACAAATGATATCAATTGTTGGGATGCCTGGACTCGGTAAGACAACTTTAGCCAAAAAACTATACAATGATCCTTTTATCATTTGCCACTTTCATATTCATGCATGGACCTATATTTCTCAAGTACCCAAAAAAATGGAAATGTTGTTGGACATTTTACATTTTAATGTCCTTACTGATGAAGATAAACACATGAGCAATGAAATGTTAGGCGACATGTTGTATAAAAAATTAAAGGGAAAAAGATATCTCATCGTCATTGATGATATATGGGATATTGGTGTCTGGGTCGATCTTAAAATGTATTTACCAAATGACAAAAATGGAAGTAGGGTTATGTTTACTAGTCGGCCCATGCAAACGTCACCTCATAGCCATACTCATTGTCTGCATTTTCTAACTGAAGAAGAAAGTTGGGAATTATTTCAACAAAAGGTGTTTCAGGATGAATGTTGCCCTACAAAACTGATTGAAATAGGAAAGCAAATAACGAAAAAATGTCCAGGGCTTCCACTTGCAATTGTTGTTATAGTAGGACTTCTTGCAAAGAACAACAAGACACAAGAGTGGTGGAAACAAGTTGCCCAAAGTGTTAGCTCATACATTGTTAGTGATCAAAACCAATACTTGGACACACTAGGACTGAGTTACAATCACTTGCCTTGTCACTTGAAACCATGCTTTCTCTATTTAGGAGCATTTCCCGATGACCAAGAAATTTCGGTGCAGAAATTAATTTGGTTATGGGTAGCAGAGGGATTTGTACAAAACATTGGGTATGTAATGCCCCGAAATAATTCAACATAAACTAACCACATCAGTTAACGTTCACTAACAATAACAATAATCCTTTCATCTTTACATAGTTAATAAACGAGTTTATACAAAAGTTTCACATGCAGATTATACATTCATTGGTAAGAAAACACATGAATCTATAGCATGTGAAGCATATAGTTCTCAAAACAAATAAATGCCCATATGGGCTACAACTTCTAAGGCTTAAGCCCGGTTACACAAAAGTGGCCTCTCGGACCCATACAAAAATAGCCCGTTGCTAGCAATTAAATCACAACAAAATAGAGTTATGTACTCTTCACAATTATCTACGCCCTCAACTTGGCGAGATTACCACGTCTTTTCTTGCACCAAAATTCCATAGGGGTGAACATAAAGCCCAGTAGAGAAATCCCTAACAAACTATCTACATTTATGCAAGATATTCAATATTTAATGCAAGTGCAAATGGCATGCAATGCCTTTTCAAGATGGTCCCATGTCATGTCATGTCTTTCTTGAAAATCACCATGTTTTCGATAGCATTTTTGCAATCTCATCAATTGGAAACTCACTTTTGCCGACCAAAAGTTTTGGTCGCGAAAAGTAACAAATGGCGACCAAAACCTTTTTTGGTCGTGGAATGTCACGATTGACGACCAAACTTTTTGGTCGCGGAATGTCACGATTGGCGACCAAAATTTTTGCTCGCGGAATGTCACAATTGGCGACCAAACTTTTTGGTCGTTGAATGTGATAATTGGCGACCAAACTTTTTGGTCGGGAAAATATCACTTTTCGCGACCAAAGTGTTTTGGCGACAAAATAAATTAGTCGCGGTAATTAAATATTTAGCGACCAAAAATTTAGTCGCGAAATCTAACTTTTGTCGACCAACCACAATTTTGGTCGTGAATTACTTTTGCCGACCCTCAATTGGCGACCAAAGTAGCGACCAAAAAAATTAGTCGCGGATAACTTTGGCCGACCAAAAATTGACTTTTAGCGACCAATTTTTTTGTTGCCAAAAGTGTTAATTCTTGTAGTGTCGGCTCCAGGGGCTTTAAGTGCCCTTTCCTGATTAATACCCCCAGAGTCTTGGACAGGGGCATATATAATAGGGTGAAGGTTCTTTGGCCTCGAGGTTGGTATTTGGTGGTTTATGTGTTGCTTCCGGACGTGCCGGAGAAAGGTGTAGCTGCCATAGGTCTTGGAGGGGGAATGGTAGTGACCATACTTACTTCTGAAGCTCTAACATTTGCGACATTGCTGGTGCCTGTATTGTTATTGCGGTTGAAGGTTCTTCTGGGTTGCTCTCTGTCATTATCAATCAAGCCCTGCTTCAAGGCATCCTCAATCTGTACTCTCATCTTGTGCAGATCTGAAAAGGTAAGGAAGGGGAGCACGATCATTTTCTGCATCAGCTTAGGCTGGAGATTGTGCATAATCATCCGGATTTGATCTTTATCGGTAGGCCTTAGGGTCATCATTGAGGCCTTCGCCCTCCACCTGGCTACAAACTCCTGTGCAATGAAAGCCTCGGCCATCTTATCCCAGTTCCGCTTAACATCGTCTTCTAATTTTGCGTACCACCCGACAAGGTCCGGCCGAATAATGAAAGCTTCTGCGGTCTGGTGAGGTCCATTGGCCGTAGTATATCTGAGAACAACCGGAGATGCACCATGGGATCTCCAGATCCGTCAAAGCGGTCGATTTGTGGCATTTTGAATCTATCTGGTAGCGTCACAGCCACGTCGGTGTACCCGTCCTCAATGTCCGGGATAAACTTCATCCCTTGGGATTTCTTGAACAACTTCTTAAGCTTGCTCAATTTCAACGCAGTAGGGTCGACCTCGAACTCGAAGGGAGAGTCCGGTAGATTGGTAGGTGTTTTGGATAGCTGGGGTAAAATTGGGGGCGGAGTCGGCCTTACCGGAATGTCCGTACCTACCTGGACATTGGGTGTTTCCCCAGGTGTCTGAACCCCTGGTGGTAGAGGAGCTTAGTGTGAAGCAGATGCCCCGGTTTGTTGTTGCAGCCTGGCAATTAACTCTGCCTGCTGGGCCATGATCTCAGCCTGTTGTTTGGCAAATTCATCTCGACGAACAGCGTCCTGTTGCATAGCTCTCATGGTTTCCTGCATCTGACGCATCATTTCCTCAACTCCTGTCTTTCTTGCCATACCGCCCTGATCTATCTGAACTACCGGTAGGTCTATCTCTAGAGTAGCCTCGGGAAGCTCAACCTGACTGTTCAAAGTCCACTGATTTGGCAATCTTTGCTCGGATACACTGCATTTTCTCGGCCTCCGTCTGATAACCGGGGGTAGAGAGTGGAACATTGGTTGTCCGTTAACCAGATCCTCAGATCGATTGAGTCGGCGACCTCTAGTCCAAAGTGCTTGGGGAATATCTGTTTGGTCTGAAGCAATTGTGCTAAACTACCCCCAACAAAAAGATAAATAAAGAAAAAATAAGGAAATAAACAACCAAACAAACGAACAGTATAACGGCTTAAAATAAACGCACAACACACAGTTTGGCATCACAACATACAGTCGATAAGCTGAAAATACTGTTCTCAAACACTGATCATTATCCCCAAATCACTGCCTCCAAAATTGAATCTGAAACCCGCAGATAACTGATTCCCAAAATACTGATCTAGTGCCCGCAAGCCTGATACCCAAACTTGCAAACTGATACATGCATTCCTGTAGAGACGCACTCTAAAAGCACATAACAAGCAAGTGAGAGCCAAAACACCCCTATGGTGGGGTAAGGTTTCCCTGTCCTATTTTGTCAGGAACTAGGGTTTCACTATGCACGCAACGGTTTCAAACAACCTATGATCGGGTAAGCAACCTGTCCTAGTTTGGAATGGTCACTATGGATTCCGAATATGCACTAGGCCGAATGGTCAAAAAGGGTGCTCCGGTAAAATCGGGGTTTGTGTTCCCGTCGTGGCAGAGCTCGCAATCGGTCAGCCTTATGGCACGCTTCTCGAAGCGAGCCTCCGACAAACCGTTCAGGAATAGCATACGGTAAACACGGTGTCCTAGGCGCACCAATGCAAATGCAATGCAAAGAAACACACAAGTGTAGTCAAAACCAGATATCACGAGTTCGAGTCAAGTTCTCTAACTCCCCAGTAGAGTCGCCAGAAACTGTAGACAGGCCCGAACGTCCCTCGCTACAGCTCGGACTCGACTTTTCGTA